ACCATGACCTCACATTGTCAGCCCATGTTCATCTTGGAGTCGACAGTGACTCCAAGATCCCTTTCTGCCTCCGTGCTCTCAAGAAGGGAGCTTCCCCATCTTATAAGGGTGCTGCTGGTTACTACTGCCCAAGTGCAGCACTCTGCATTTGTCAGTATGGAAACGCATCCTGTTTTTGTTATCCCACCCCTGCAACCTACCCAGGTCTTGCTGCAGTCTTTCCCTCCCTACTAGCATGCTCACCTCACCCCAAATTTTGGTATCATCAGCAAATTTAAACAGGTTGCTTTTCACCTCGTTGTCCAAATCACTGATAAAGAAATTGAACAGCGCGGGCCCAACAACCAAGTCCTGGGGGACTCCGCTGCCCACTTCCCCCCAGGTTGAATATGACCCATCCACCACCCTCTGAGTATGACCCTTCAGCCAAAATCTGCAATCCATCTGACTGTGTAGGCATCAAATGCCACAGGTCACCTAGTTTAATGAGGATGGGGTGGGAGATGGTGTCAAAGGCCTTGCTGGTCCAGAAAGACTATGTCCACAGCGACACCTGCATCCAATGCTTTTGTGACCTGATCATAAGAAGGCAATCAGGTTGGTCTGACATGACCTGCCCCTAATTAAACCATGCTGGTTGCTCTTGAGCATTATCCATGAAGCTGGTCCATCACAGATGTGCTCTGTTCCAAGTCTCAGATGAAACTGCTGGCAGTCTTCTCGGTGTGTTCACTTATTATCTACTGCTGATTAAGCAAACCAGGACAACAATTTCTGAGGCTGACCTCTCCAGCATGCATCTTTGACTTCAAGGCTTGATGACCAACACCTTTGTAGACAGCTTAAAAATGAATGGCAGGGTACCCTGTTTAGTGTTGCTACAGGATGTACTGCATCACCTTCTCAAACTGAGCTACACCCAGAAGTCCATTATGGTCAGCCCTGACATGCCCGTGTCTGGTACCACTAGTGGTTTTTTGCTCTTCCAAACCAGTAGTTTGATCTGGCAAGTATCTCATGCTTCTGAGAAAATAAAGATAGTGGTAGGCAGATTTCTTCTTTGGTTAGTGAAGGAAGCTAAAGGCTAGAAAAAGTCTATTCAAGAAGTTATTTATGAAGTTCTTCCCAAAAATAGAACTTGTATGTTTACCCTGCATTTTTACAGTTAGATGCACAGAATAGAGCAAAATATATCTGTAGTTAGTATATTTACCTTTGCTAGGTATGGGTAAGACTCTTCTGAATCAATCCCTCCATTATCCAGGATATACTGGAAAGCTTGATCCATCAGACCACCATTGCATCCTTCATTGCCTTCAGGTCGAGAGCAGTCTACAAGATTTTGCTCACTCAGGGAGACCAGCTGACCAGTTCTTCTGAAATGCTGTCCTTCAAGAGCACCAGTTGTGCTAAATGCCCAACAAGATCCACATTGACCCTGAAATGGAGCAGGAAAATAAAATGACTCCAAGAAGGTCAGACAGCATACACAGTCCAGATTACCACAGCAGTCTGAACAGCATATATTACAGTTTCCAGCTTACTCATGCTCAAAAGGGACCTCACCTGAAGAAGATATTAGGTAGGGGTCCTTTCAAAGCTTACAGTTGCTGCTCAATTGGGTGAAAATCCTAGAGAAAGGTCTGCACCTTAGAAAGTGCTGCTACAAGTCTCAAGCAAGTGATTTCACCATAAAAAAAAAGTTTAAGAAAAGGTCATGCTATATTAGCAAGTGTGCAGCAGTCTTTACAAGGATTAACAACTGCTTAATATGCAACTCGTGATTTTTCCCATTATTTTCCAAAGTTAGTTATTTTATGAATCAGGCTTTCAAACTGGTCAAACACACGCACAGAACCCATCACAACAAGACATACTTGGTCTTTAACAGGAGTTACATATCCCTTCTTTCTCCAGTCCACAGATCTTGGGGCTTCTAGGAAGTTGGGCTCAAGGAACTGGGATCCTCTATACTTCTTCTGTGATTTTTTATGGATGTACCCATTCATCAGCTGTCTGAACTCTTCGTTTGTCTGAAAAAGAAATGCAGTGAACTTCTGCCATATGTTATTAAGAGACCAAGTAAGTTTCATGGCTCTCTCAAGGACTTACCATGTCACCAAACTGATTCATTCCCAGTTTGTAGCTATGCTTGCCCAGTGTGTGGTCAAGATTATGTAGTTCAATCATTTTCAAGTTCTTTTCCCATACCATTCTCCTCCAGCCTTCTTCCTTCTGCAAGTCAACAAACAAAGTTATTGTGATACTAGTGTACTTGTAGAGCGAGACCATCAGAACAGATAGGCTTCTTGCTGCCTAAAGTTTGTATAACACAGTTAAAAGTATACAAACATCATTATTTTCAATTATGTTAAATCTCATTCAAGGATGAGAAAAAAAAAAAATTGTTACGCTTTTTAAATTCCTCCTAAACAAAAAAACCCACAAAAACAAAAGACCCAGTAACTCCATCTTATAGATGCGATTATTTGCACTATTAAAAGCCAGCAGGACTAAACTATCACAGTGTTAAACATTAGGCCATATTGTACGCCCAACCTTGGCTGCTCTACGCCGATGCAGCCAGCTTGCCATACATGGGCCACAGGCCTGTGAAGGATAAACCCAGTAGATCTGGAAAGGAGTAGAGAGAGAAGAGAGGGAATTACAGCAGGGAGAAGAGCTGGGTATTAGGCAAGGGAGGGAGATAGCCTTACGCAGAATTTAGTTTGCATCATTTGATAGAGGAAACCCTGACTCAGGCAGCAGGTTGGACTAGATGACCTCTGGAGGTCCCTTCCTGCCCTACTTCAACGCAACTACTGCAGTGTCATTTGGGGAGGTGCAAGGATTAGCTTGTGGCAAGGCTGCCACAAAACTTGGCCCCTCACAGTGCTAGTTCTAAGCAAATGCCCGTATGACAGCAGTCTGCCTCTGCTGGAAAAAACAAAACACTGACCTCATGGTAGTTTTTCGAGTGCCAGGACTTCCAGAGCTGCCAGTGGCTACTCAAGTCAGGATCCATTCTAGGAGCAGCAGAGGACAGTCCCCAGCACAGGGAGAGCAGGCATAGGTGGAGGTTCATGGTGAGAGATCTTCCTAGAATTGCAGGGGGTGGAAAATAAGCATCAGCCGGTATTTCCCTTCCCTCTAATAAAAAAGAGGAAAGAAAAGAAATGAGCTTTAAACATTTTCTACTGGGCAAACCCATTGGCTAATAAAACAGGTCGGGGGAGGGGGGGAGGGGTTTGTATTATGAACATATCCAAGCCTAGGTCCGGATCTGTACAGCTCTCACTTGCCCTCGGGTGTAAACAGCAGCACTAGCTGGAGGTGGGCCAGGCCCCCGCCCTGAGCACTGAGGACACCCGTCCCCCAGCAGAGAAACCAGGCAGGAGGTAAAGCCCGTTTGGACAGAGTCCCAACCAGATGACCCATCTTCTACCGCAGCCAGCCACTTATGTAAGAGAAAGCCACATCCTCCTCAAATCAAAGCAGGCAAAACCCAGCACAGACACCTCTGCACCCAGACACCTTCAGGGGAGCAAGAGCAGCCCCCCTCCCCCCTATCCATCCAACAGCCCTGGGCGAGGCGGCAAAGTCCCGCGGGGGGAGGTTAAAAGGGACAGGAGAAGGTGCAATGAGCCGGCTCGTGGCCTCCCCTTCCCCTGGCGGGGAGATTATGGCTCTCCCCGCCCCCTTCCAGCTCCCCGGCCCAGGCACTACGACCCCCCTGCCCGCGGCCGAGCGCCGCCGCCCCGGCTCCCCGCTCTGCGGGCTGTAAACACGCCGGGCCGGGCGGAGACGGGCCCGCAGCCGCCGCGAAGCGGGGCCCACAGAGAGCCTGGCCGGCCAGCCTACAGCCAGCCAGCTAGCGCACCCCGGCCCCAGTCTCCGTCCCACTCACCTGCTACGTGGGCTGCCTGCCCTGCCCTGCCCCTGCCCAG